GGAGCATAAGGAAATCATCTTATTTTCTTGTATTCTCCCCCTGAAGATGATCTTGGTGGAAGTAACTTTCTTGCTCAAAAAAAGTGACATCTCTGGACACAGAATTTTTTGGATGGTGGGTGATAGCATTTATACCCCTTTTGTGTGGATGAGTATCCTTTGAAAACACATTTTAAGGCTCTAGGATCAAGTTTACCTCTATCACCACTGTGGATATGTATAAAAGATACACACCCAAATATTCTTGGAACGAGTTGATTGGATGTGGACACATTATGATAGAAAGAAGACAGAACCTCCATAGGACTTCTTGAGGCTAGAATACTAGAAGGTAGTCTATTAATTAGATAACATGCAGTCAAAACAGCTTCGCCCCAAAGCCTTTTAGGAACCTTATGTTGAAAAAGAAGAGCCCAAGTTTGGTCTAGTAGGTGTCCATTTTTCCTCTCAGCAATCCCATTTTGTTGAGGTGTTTTGACACAAGATGACTCATGAATGATACCTTCCTTTTGACAGAAGGAAATAAGCTCATGATTAAAGTAGTCTTTGGCATTATCGGATCTAATCCTTTTAATGCTAACACCAAACTGATTTTTTACCATGGAGAAAAAATGTTGGACCACAGAGCTGACTTCGGACTTTTGTTTTAGTAAGAAAACCCATGTGACCCGAGTACAATCATTTATAAATGTAAGGAACCAACGGGCACCAGAAACATTTGGGATATTTGAGGGTCCCCACACATCAGTATGGATTAAATAGAAGGGAAAAGTGCTCATATTATTACTAATTGGAAAAGGTACACGCTTGTGCTTAGCAAACTCACACACTTCACAATGAAGACTCTCCACATCTAATTTGCTACAAAGAGAAGGGAATAACATTTTTATGACTCTAAAGGAAGGATGTCCAAGACGACAATGATGTAGGAGGACTTTCTCCCTGTTGGTCTTTATTGAGTCAGAGAAAAAAGAGTTGCTATTTTGTAGGTCTGGTGGCAGATTCGGGCTGTCCAAGTAGTAAAGGCCATTCCATTCTCTAGCATGTCCAATCGTCCTCCCCGAGTGCTTGTCCTGCAGTATACAAGCATTGTCATAAAAAATAACATTACATGATAGGTCTTTTGTGAGTTTTTTTATGGAAATCAGATTGACAGATAGTTTAGGAATATGAAGGACATTTTTAAGGGTTTTGGATGAGCTTATTTGAACTTCTCCTTGACCTGCTGCAGTCATCAGAGTGCCATCTGCTGTGGATATTTTCTTATTGCTAAGGCAAGGGGTGTAAGAGGAGAAATGTTTAGGTAGAGGTGTCATGTGGTTAGTAGCCACAGAATCCAGTATCCAATATTGGTTATAGTGTTTATCTGAGGCATTAAGTCCAAAGGAAAGAAACTCACCTGAATATGCTAGAGAATAACTACCTGTTGGTTTGTCCAACTTGTTGAGGAATGATCTCATCTTCTCTACTTCATCTTGGTTAAGTTGAATCACTCCTCCCTTGTTTTCTTCACTGGTTGCAACTATGTGTGCTTGTCCTCCCTTTCTTGTGTTGTCTCCTTTTTTTCCCACCTCCCTGTCTCGGTTTTGGGGCCCCCATTCTCTGCTAGGTGGCTTTCCGATCAGCTTCCAGCAGTTGTCACGAGTGTGGCGAGGCTTGTTGCAGTAGGTACATCACACTCCTTCACCTTTCTTTTCCATATTACTTATGCCCCACTTTTTCTGGTCTGCCATCATGGCCGAGGCCCCAGAAGCTACCATGGCTGAATTTTCCGTGGTTAGGTTTTCTAGCATGACTCCCCTTCTGCTTTCTTCACTTCTGACCATAGCTACTACTTCATTAATTCCTGGAACTTTTTCTTTTCCAAGGATCTGGGCTCTCACTTGATCAAAAGCAGAGTTAAGCCCCACCAAGAAATCATAGACTCTATCTTGCTCAATATATTCTTTGAACATTGCTGAATCTGCTGGGCACTTGGCTTTTATGACCCTGTAGTGATCTAACTCCATCCACAATGATTTGAGTTGATTGGGGTACTCTGTAACAGTCTTGTTTCCCTGTTTTGCAGCCATAGTCTTCACCTTCACGTCATATATTTGAGCAACATCTTTAGCTTTGGAGTATGTCTCCTCCATGGCCTTCCAAATCTCCTTTGCAGAATTAAGAAACATACAAGTATCAGTGATTTCTGGGATCATTGAGTTCCATAGCCATGCCATGATCATAGAGTCCTCTTCGTCCCATTTTTTAAATTTGGGATCTCCTTCTTTGGGGGAGTCATCAGTCAAGTGGTTAGCTTTCCCTTTACCTTTCAAAGTTCTGCCAACAAGCTGGGACCATTTCAAGTAATTCTTCCTATTCAATCGGTAGGCAGTGTTGACGTTCTGTAGCTCTTCCTGAGTTTTCTGCACCACTTCATCAGTTTCCTGAGTTTTCTGCACCACTTCATCAGTTGGGTTTGCCATGGCCACAACAGTACAACAACCTCAATGCAGTGAGGATGTATTTGATTGTTGCGACGACAACAAAGGAACAAAACTGCAAATCACAGCAGTAATGAAGGCTGCCCTGAAAGGAATGATGGACATCAATGAAGGCTGAAAAGAAAAAAAGGATGATTAGCAGCAATGAAGGCTGCCGACTAGGGTTTTTTGGTTTGCACAGTCAGAGGTGGCTCCCAGAATTTGAGAGCTCCGATGCCATCTCAGAAATTAGGGTAGAATAAATTGATTTTCTTATATCAATTATGCTGAGAATACATCAGTCATATATACAAGGCTAGAAAGCTATTTTAGGAAATACAATAACACCTAAACTATCAGATCCCTATGATCCAGGGATATTTCCCTCATACACTATAATTGTAATCTGCTAAATAAGGAAATACTACAACTAATAAAACACTGATTCTGACAGAAATAATACAGCTAATAAAACAGATTCTGACATCTTCATATCATGATTCTGGTATATGTTGATGATATCATCATCACAGGGAATTCTGCCTCATTTATTACCTCCTTGATCAAGCACCTCAATGACAGATTTTCTCTAAAACAGTTGGGACAACTAGACTATTTTCTGGGTATTGAAGTGTCTCATCTACCTAATGTCTCTTTGTTGCTATCTCAAACTAAATACCTTACTGATCTGCTTTCAAAGGTAAATATGCTGAATGCCAATGGCATGCCTACTCCTATGGTGTCTAGCAGTAAATTGTCAAAGGTTGGTTCTGCCTCTGTAGATGATCCAACTCAGTTCAGATCAATTGTTGGTGCCTTACAATATGTCACATTGACCAGGCCTGAAATATCATTTTCTGTCAATAAAGTTTGTCAGTTTTTGTCCAATCCCTTAGAGGAACATTGGAAGGCAGTCAAGAGGATCTTAAGGTATTTGAGTGGTACTCTTCATCATGGTCTGCTTCTTCAACCTGCCTTTATTCAGCAGTCTATGCAGTTGTTAGGGTTCTGTGATGCTGACTGGGCATCAGACCCAGATGATAGAAGGTCAACTTCAGGGGCCTGTGTCTTTCTTGGTCCAAATGTGGTTTCTTGGTGGTCTAAGAAGCAGCAACTTGTAGCTAGGTCAAGTGCTGAAGCTGAGTACCGCAGCATGGCTCAATTGGCTGCTGAGCTAACTAGGATTCGGTCCTTGCTTAAGGAGCTTCACTGCCCTTTTAAAGTGCCAAAGATTCTATGTGACAACTTGAGCACTGTTACTCTTGCCCACAATCCTATTCTCCACAATAGGACTAAACATATGGAGCTTGACATCTTCTTTGTGCATGAAAAAGTCCTCAGCAAAAGTCTTTTTGTGGCTCATGTTCCTGCTCAAGATCAGTGGGCGGATATTCTGACTAAACCCCTATCTGCTGCAAAATTTGTACCTCTGCGAGCAAAGCAGAAGGTGTTAAACTAGAATGACTTGTTCAAACCACCCTCAGCCTCTAAGGGGGACTATTAGAATAGTTAAAGATAAAGTTAGTTAGTCATTTCTAGATCTCTGTTATCCTCTTGCTGAGCTGTCCAATTTGTTATAACAGCTTCACATTGAATACATTGAACATGAGAAATTCTCAACCTATTCTAATTCTCTCTACTTTATCAAACTCTATCAGATGTCACTATTCACTATAATACTACGTCTTTTCTTTTTTATAAGACCCTCTATGAATTTTCAACTGCATTAATTATTTTTTTACTAACATATCCATAATTATTTACATCTTTGTTTACAATTTATAATAAATACTCCAATATAAATATTAACTAATTGACAGGATATTGGATTTGGGCCTTAGTCCAATAGAGAGGCTGGATAGAGATCTGGTTACAACTGCTTATGTTAGAAGGGAAGGGTAGTTATATAAGGACACTGATAGCAAGGGAGAATGCATTGGGGTTATTTTCTGTTAGAAACCTTTTGGGTTGGGAAAAGTGAGAATCATCTCTCCTTTGAGGAGCATTTGGTCTGTTTCTAGGGATCATTCTCTTTAATAGTTATTAATTCAATAAATAATACATTTTTTGTTCGTCTTAATTTTGGGTTCCTATCACTAAGGTCCAAATCCAGTTTCCTATCACTAATTCTTCTTGAAAGGTAACTCTGTAAAAACAATACCAATTGTCAACAAGCTTAATGTCACAACCACTTTTTAATTCCCATGATTTATCTAAGAGGGTGTTATAGTTAGAGACTGATGTAGTAATAGCAACCTAGTCTTGTAATAAAAGACATAAAATTTAAGTAGGCAACAATCTTTGAATGTGAAACTCATTGTTAGTTGAGGAAAATTTACTCGTTGAGTTATTGTCAACTGAAACGCTGTAAACTCTTGTCTTTTGTGTGTTATGCACCTGATCAGCAGTATCAGATATGTGAAAAAGATAAACTAATCTTCATTTCTACGAGTTTGATGAAAATATTGGAGGTTTCATTTAAGCTCTGTTGTTATTGTTCTTTTGTGTGTATAGTTAATATTGACTTACTTTTCGCAGGTATGATCTTTTGCATAATGCACATCTTAATCTTGAAGGTCTCGATGAGCTTTTCAAAGTGGCTCAGGTACATAAAAGAATGTTAGGGAAAATGTTTCTCAACTCAACATAATTGAAAGCAAAAAATATTCAACAATCAGTAAGACTCATCCAATGATTGAGGAATCGCCCATTACAACAAATCTATTAATTGAACAAATATAAGACAAATGTTAACAAGGCGACATTTGAAATCCCTTTGATATACATTTAAAATATACTTCTTGATTACTTCTTGATGCTGATGATGTCATGTCATTAGGCTGTGCAAATTTCATGCTGTGTAACATTTGGCTGCATTGCTCTTATTTTTAAATCATGTGAAACAGTCTCATTTTGGGCTCTGTGGATCAATAAGATCGGTTTCTATTTGGAAAATGCAATTTTCCTCCATGTGCCTCACTCGGAATTTTTTAAAGATATCTACATTTATAAAGGCCAGTGAGAGCATTCATCACAATAATAAACTTATCTGAAGCAAATTCTGAACAGTATGTTTGGGCTTAGTCTTTTTTAAGTGACAACTAAAAGTGTTGCCTGCAGGAGAAAAATAAACCTACCTGCACTACTTTCCTTTCTATATTTATCAACTATGGCTGCTGGGATCAGTCACGGTGCTTGCCTTTGTGATTAATCTTCCCCGCTATTTGCAGGCGCTTGCTGATGGTGTGATTCCAAATGAATATGGAATTAATCCAAAGCAGAAACTGAAAATTGGCTCAAAGGTAAACTTCTGTTGTAAGAAAACTCCCAAATGTCACTTAACTTTGCAAATCTGTAAAGCGTTATTTTATATTTTCCTTCTGAAGCCTTGTTGCAACGGTGGGAGTTATTGTCTTTTGTGATCGAAGGTCTAGGGTTCAGATCCGAGAATTAGCATCTTGCTAACACAGATTAGACTGTCAATAATATATTTGTAATAGATCTAACCCTTTCTACGTTGTATTAGTCGCAGTGTTTCTTGAATTACTTTGAATTAGTTGGCTTTGAATATTTAAATTATACAAACACCAAAAGCGAGAGGGAATTGTTTGCCAAGGATAAATAATATATAAGCAAAGAAATGTTATCGTTTACAACTTCCGGTAGTTAGAGAAATGCCTAAAAAAAGGTGCAACTTTTGCTCGTATGCGTGTTATAGATATACCATGTTGCCGCTCCTTGATTATAATATTGATGATAGATATGTTACATCTTTAAAACCCAAATATAAGTAAGAAATAATCACCTTATGAAATAGGTATTCTTAAAATGCAGGCTAGGTTAAGGAACTTCTATAACTTTGTATTTTTTTATATAAAATTTGGGAGGGGGAAATTATTATTATCGGTGACACTAATGACAATTTTATAACTATTCCATGCAGGAATTATTTGTCTTTAGTTTCATGCAAATACTCTTATGTTGTATTAAAATTAAATGCATTGTTTCAACTATGTATTTAAAACTATGGCCACCTGCTTAACTTGTTTTACTGTTTCAATTCAGGTAGCTCGTCGGTTATTGGGAAAAATTCTAATTGATGTGAGGAACACTCGAGAGGAAGCAATTAGTGTCGCCGAGCTAAAGAATAACCAAGACAATTCATTATCATCCATGAAAGTTGAAAATGAAGATACAGAGGGCAAGTCAAAAAGAATTCATGAGAATGAGGAAATACAAAAATGCAGCACTATGAGTGAGACTTCAATGGATCAGGAAGATGATGATGATAAAGAGACCAAATATCGTTTAGATCCAAAGTGATTATCATATCATCTTATATTTTTATATCATAATGCTCTATTCTAATTTCTTCATTTTGCACCAGGTATGCAAATGTGAAGACACCTGATCGCCATGTGCGAACACGCCTATACTTTACATCAGTGAGTGCTGAATTTTGTTGTAAAAACCTTGTGAAGATATTTTATGCCCACAATCTTAATTAAATTTAATATCCTTTTATAAATTTGGTCGGGCTTAAATCAACTATAAAATATCTACTTGTAAGGTAAAAGTTGTCCAAGCTGTAGCACTATAAAGACCATAACTCTAGTCAATGTAAGACTCTCAACACCTCTTATACACAGGATTGGACATCTTGAGCATGGAAAAATACGGGTGGAAAAACAAAGATCTTAGCCCAAAAATGAATTTAGAATAGACTCTAATACCTTCCTTGAGCTTAGATTGAGTCTACAAAATTGGCTTGTAAGATAAACCCCATGAGCTTTTATGTGCACTACATAGCTCATATCCCTAGTCGATGTGGGAGTCAACAATTTCTATGTTATTAGAATCTGGGTTTGGGCTTAACTCAACCCCAAAATCTAGCTCAGTAGATGTGGGTTGCTCCCACTTATAATCACTATATTAGTGCTCATCACATGTCAATGTAAGATCTCATGCTTTGGACCAGACATCTGAAGCGTGAAGTTTGCATGGAAGGACATTTGTAGGTGGCTTGATAACTGGTGGTTCAGTAATAGATTTCGGATAGGCTCTAAAATCATGATATAAATTAGTTTTTGGCTTAACTCAACCCCAAAGATATCTCAGCAAATAGTGTGTATTGGTTCTTCCAACTTTTCCTTGTCCAAGCTTCAAGCCTAATGGAATCTGATGAAGGGGATGTTTTAGATATGTATAAAATCATTCTTTGGCTATCATCTAATGGCTTATGCGTAAAGGAAACTTCGTGTTAGACACCTGCATTGATGTTGTAGTTTTACTTAAAGTTCTACTTCCTTTGTTAAATAGTGGCAATTAGTACACTGAATTTTCTGAAGATGTTTCATTCCTGTCTTTGTTATGAAATTTCATCATTCACATCCATACTCTGAAGTTAAGTAGAATCTCAAGATTCCGTAGTACGAATTTGTTTGATTAAAGATATCTGGTTTACAAAACATTAATAAACAGACCTTTTATGGCTGAACTGATTTTAACTAGTAATAATGTGAAACCTCAACTGCGATTTATCCATGTAGATGCATCACCATAGACTGATTCATCAATTTTGTTGCATAAAATTATGTTATCTTTATTTACATACTTTGTCTTTGTTGATTTTGTGGACAGGAATCACATATCCATTCTCTCATGAATGTCCTTCGATATTGCAATTTGGATGAATCTCTTCAAGGAGAAGAGAGTCTTGTTTCCCATAATGGTCTAGAGCGACTATGTCAAACAAAGGAGCTCGACTACATGAGCTACATTGTACTGAGGATGTTTGAGAATACAGAGGTGTGTCATTTCGGCTTCTAATTTCTTACTATATTCCTAAGTGGTGGGCGTTATATGAATGAATTAAAATTTTGCATGTCCTTATTTGTTGTACGGGCTGTTTTGAGTCGTGTAATATGTTTTTATATAGGGCAATATTAGTAAATTAGTGGTTATGTAAGCTTTCAGGTTTGAATCTTGGAGCTCTTGGTGGTTAGAACACCCTTAGTGTCCCTCAGCTTATCAACCAAGCTTTCTGCCTGGGACATTTATGTAATATGCAAATTATATTTTAATTTCTATTTATCTAACTTTCTTTTGACTTTAAAATCACAGGTGGCTGCAGAAGATCCTAAAAGGTACCGTATAGAGCTGACTTTCAGCCGTGGTGCCGATTTATCCCCTTTGCAGGTAATAATATATAGTTAAATATATTTGGCCTAATAGCCTAAAGGGTTCATTAGGCTCAGGATGATTATGTGCATTGTCTGGAGCTTTGTAAAATTAAAGCCTAAGCTGGTAGTATCATACTCTTCTGGCGGCTTAAAACAAGTAGTGAAGATGCTAAAAACTTAGTATTTTTACATGGCGGACTTGTTTTCAATGGGTAATAATAATATCTGGTGTGTGATATTTTTTGCAGAAGAAAGATAGTGAGGCAACTTCACTGCGTCAGGAGCATACACTACCTATTATGGGTCCAGAGAGGCTGCAAGAAGTAGGTTCATATCTCACGTTAGAAATGATGGAGAAGATGATTCGCCCGTTTGCCATGCCTGCAGAAGACTTTCCACCAGCAACACCTGCAGGATTTTCTGGCTATTTCACAAAAAGCATGCTTGAGCGTCTTGTAAATCTTTGGCCTTTCCATAAGCACTAGTGCAAAAAATACTCTTTTTGATCTTTCCTGTTTCATTTTTATGCAATGAGGGGAACATATTGATCATCCAAAACGAGCTTTAGGCTCGTATGGAAATTCTTTTGGAAAACCAAAAAATATTGTTGAAAGTAGTACTAGAAAGTAGCCATTAATAATAAATTGTATTTTCTTCCCAAGCTATGCAATTCTTTTACTCCATTATTATTATTATTATATTATTTTTTTCACTTTGATACCAAAATGAAAGTCTTAGATTTGAATAGGTAAGAAATTTTGTATGGTCGTTTTATTTGGTGCTGACGTGTATTGTTGTGAGCATTCACATCCATTTGAATTCATTTAAATTCTTTAAATGGCCCCACTGAATTTTTTAAGCAATTCATCTATTTATTTTTTTTATATTAATACAATCCTTTAAAAATTCTAAACTGATTCCATTAGACCCCACATTTATACTCCAAATTTTTTTTGATCAAATACTCCAAATTTAATCATATGTTTTTCTTTAATTCAATTAAAATGAAATGTCATTCTTTAGTAAGAAAACAATAAAAAGTTAGAGAACATGTAGTCTTATTATCTTATAACAAATGAAACTACGATGAAAAACGAATGCTCTAAGTTTAAGGTAAAGAAAAGTTAAATATGATTGCCTAATTTAAATTAAGTAACAATATTGACATGAAAACCTAATATTTAAATTAAATCATCTAATACCACACGTGGTTTATCATTTAGAGATGTATTTTCGAACGGCATGTCAATTTTTTTTCTTGAGTTCATTCTAGCTATAGAAAAATAAATTATGGTTCGAAGATGCATCTTCGTATACTGATTTGGTGTATTTGAAAATGCATATTTAAAATGTTCTCTGAAGTTCTTTAAAAGGTGTTGGAATCGTGTTAGTTGCAAGGGTGAATTATTTTGGAGATAATCTTCGAAAATCCTCATAAATCATTTCATAGTAGCATCATTGTTCCAACATCATAATTTTTTGAGGTCAACTTATATTAAAGTAAAATTAAAGTGAAATGAAGTTATATTAAAGTTAAATGAAAGCAAAATGTAATATATTAATCCATAAAATCAAGATCATACGTAACATTTATCTGAAAATATAAAAAATGTGCGTAGTTCCCTATCTGTTTTGTCTTCCAAAGATAACTCTCGCCTGACCCCCGTTGTACTCGTGATCGCAGTCAAGTCGGTGAAGTACTTAAGGTGCACTACATTGACATAAGTTGCACTTTTGTCCACAAAAGTGGACATGTTATCCAAGAACAAGAGGTAACACCTCAACAAACATTGTCGGTGGTACTCAACCTGCATATCATCATCTTTGGCATCCAAGGACCATTACATGTGTATTTTTATAAAGCTTTAAAAAAAATAACATTTCCTAAGCACCTCTACTATCATGTGCCTCATATGCAGCCTTAATTGGGCTAGCCCCCAAATGGCTGAACATCATGTCGACCCCTTCCTTTTGCCCAATCATCTTGTAGTACAATAATCTCCCCCTAATGAAAAAATTTATGAGGCACGAGACGTCGTCCAAGGTGATGGTCATCTCTGTTATAGGTAGGTGGAAAAATGATGTATCTGAATGCCACCTCTCAGTAAAAGTTGTATGTATGTCGTGGTTTATGGTCATGTAAGCTGAAAAACATAAACCGACAAGCTCATAATAACAAATAACATCAATGAACTAAGCACCAGTGAGCTGTTCCAACTCCAAAATCTTCTTGTCGTGGTTAATCATTTCAAGGAAGCACGCTCCTGTAAAAATAAAATATTACCTTCAATGTAGATTTAATTAGTTGACAACATATGTATTGCAAAAGAAAAGAAATATAACTCTACAAGTCAGACATGTCTAACAACATGTACTGCATAAAGATGAAGTAAGAAGGTGTCAAATGGGCCTCCTGAGTAACTCTAATGAGACATCGGGATCGACAGCGGCTTTCTCGTGAGCTTTAAGGGCTTCAGGATCAACAAGGGTTTAGGGTCAACAAGGGCTACAAGAACTTCGAGTTCTGCTGCATGTGAGGCCTGAGAGAGTCAATTACGAGAACCAGACAGGTGGGAACCTCAGGGTTGCGAAGTAGATGCATAATCAAACGAGTTATTAGCAACTCATAGCCTCGTGGTCCTCGCTGTTACCCTCTCACATCGTACTAACACAGTTTATGACACACATCCGAACCTAATCCGACTAGTGTTGTTTTCAACCACTGCACATGCGTTAGAAACAAAGACAAATATAAACAGTATGTCCGGAGAAATTCACAAATTCTACAAAATCATCCAATTTTTTTCCTGAGTCCAATTCGGAGATATATCTCCGAAAACAATGCAGAGCAAACTCGGAGATGCATCTTCGGACAAACCTGCGATATTGTTCCCATGGAAGAAACCTCTTTCCTACCCTAACAGTCCCAAAAAACCTCAATGCATGTTCTTCTAGCCTACAAATTTTGTTTACACTACTATTTAATGTGCCTAAAACAACTAATGCAACTTAAACAGTAACTATAAATCAAAACATAAAAGTAAACAAATTTTTTTAAAACTTCCCAAATCAAATTAATGAGAAGTAAAGAATTGAATGTTTGAGATGCTAGAAATGAGGAGAAAGAGCTTCAATGATATAAGATTGAATGAATGGATGAGAAGTAAAATCTTTGTAGAGCTTAAATGAATTTTTTTTTAACTTTTTAAAAAATGAAGAAGGAGGAAGAAGGAAATGTATGGTGCGGAATATGAAAGAAAAGTTTCAGAGATGCATCTCTGAATCACCAACAACTATTTGAATAAATAGTGTTTATAGAAATGCATCTTCAAACATACTTTTTACACATACGGAGATATATCGGCATATTAAGTTTTGACATAATAAAGACGTCTCTTCAATTTAGTCTGAGAAATGACTAAAATCAATGCATATGAAAATATATTTCTGAACGCTAGAAACATTCTAAAATTTTCATAGTGGTGTGAGACAACATTTAAAAATAGAAAAAACAATCTCCAAAAATAAATGAGTCTTCTTTGTCCATACACAAATTGATAAAGCTACAAATCCAACTTTTTATGTTTTACATTTTGCACTATAGTCAGAAGTTTAACTAATTATAACTTTTAATATGTAAATACATAATATTACATTTTAAATTATATTTTATAATTTATAATTTTTACTTAAACCTCTTATATTTAATTATGATGATAATTTAGTTTTTTTATAAGAGTATAATCATATTAAATTGTTATTATATTTAATAATTAGTAATTTTATTTTGTGTTTTGCTAAAACATCAACATAAAAACTCAATTTAATAATTATACAATACTAGTACTTAAGCAATTTTGATTTAAATAATTCAAACAACACACTTAGACGGTAAAACTATACAAGTGATTTATTATTTTTATTATAATAATGATAATGATGCACTACATATCTTGCATGGGTAGATATATATAGTTGGGTAGAAAATAAATTTGAATAGTAAGAAAGTTTAGCTAACCATTTTAGTTATAAGTTTATTAGTTTATTTGGTAAATATAAAGTTTGATCGATAAACAAAGTTTACATTACTAACATGATAGTTAAGAGAGTTGACAGCATCACATTATTTTACGTGATTGTAACGTTATTTTAAACTTAAAATCATTATTTGGATTATAAAATTCAGATTCATCCATTGTGCAAGAAACCAGCTTCACACGAAAACACATTCAATATACAAATGGGTGTGTTTGAATATTATTCTTTTAAAATGTCTTTCCCTTACCACTCGGTAACTTTCGAAATCAAAATAATAAATAATACAATGATGTTAAGAAGTACTATTTGCGGGAGAAATAGCTAAAATATCTCAATCTCTCTTCTTTTTCATTTATATTAAGTTTTTAAATCAATTTTCATCATTCATTTCTTACATTTGAAGAACATTCGGTAAATTTAACCGCTTCACATTCTCACATTACTTCTTGTGATTATGATGCAACCATTTACTTTCTAATTTTTAATTAAAAAGTACAATATATTTCATCTAATCTCAATATTCTATACATTTTCTTCCTAATAAGTTTGAGGTTTAAATTTGTTGAATTTGAGAGTTAGAGTTCCATCTGGTATGATCGCATTCAGATGACAAAATATGAAAACTCCATATAGATATAGTTATTGTTGGACACGTGACTTCTCACATAAAGGAGGTTGAATTGTATGGTTTTGAAAAACATGGTTCAAAAAAAAAATAGTTTAAATTTAGAGTTTAAAAATATTTTAAGTAGCAGAGAAATAAATTGACAAAATGTAAATTACAGACATGTAAAGAATTAAGAGAAAAGAGGAACACTAAGAGTTATACATGTTTAGTCAAGAAACGACTTAGTCTTGTCTCCAAGATTTGATCTTGAGATTATCCAATAAAATTTGAGAGTTTTTCGTAGATTGTACTCACGAATCCTCCTTATATAAGGAAAGAAGAAGTTTAAGGTTGACTTCCAACCAAATAGTAAACAACGGAGTGAAACAATGAGCCTTCCTTCCAAACTGCGGATCAAAGCGATTAGTCTTCTTTCCATGATAGTTTTGGAGTTGTTAGTCTTCAATCTCCTAAACAAACTTTGCAAGCTTTTAATACTGGGTTGAGCTCACGAACCTTAAACCTTGATTAAACCATGGGATAACTAATAGCCTGAGAGATTTTAACACAAGACTAATCTCGAACCTTAGCAAACTTTTAATACCATACTAAGCTTTAAACTTAACTTGGTTTTACCACGTGCTAATCAAGAACCTATGAGAGCTTTTATCATGAGTTTAACTTTCGAACTTAAATAAGGGCTTGATCACACAATCTCCAAACCAAAGCCTTTATGGGTTTAACTTCTAACCCAAATAATTCCTAAAATGTTCAATAAAGGTATAAAAAAAGTCTTTTGGTGAACTTACAATACCATCCTTTCATAAATACAACTTCTCA